ATGACATAGGAGAAAATCCTCGTGACCTTGAGTTAAGCAAAGATTTCATAGATAGCACCACCAAAAGCGTGATCTATAAAGCAAAGTAATAACTTGAGCTCCATCAAAATTAAAAACTTATGCTCTTTGGCATACAATATTTAAGAAAATGAAAAGCCACAGATTGGGTGGAGATTTTTGCAAAACACACATCTGTTAAGCGATTTGAATCCAGAATGTATAACTAATTCTTACAACTTAATAAGACAAACAACTGAATAGAAAATTGGCAAAAGATTTGAAAACACCCTTTACCAAAGAAGAGATATGGATGTTAAGTAAGATTTGAAAAAATACTCAATGTCATTAGTCCTTGGGAAAAGGTACCATTACATACCTACTAGGATGGCTAAAAAACAGGCAAGAACAGACAAACAAAAACTAAGTGCTAGTAAGGATGTGAAGCAGCTGGAACTCTCATTTGTTGCTGGTGGGAATGCAAAATGGTACAGCCACATTAGAAAACAGTTTACTAGTTTCTTATAAACTTAAACTTGTATTTAATATAGAACTTAGCATTCCTCAACTTAGATATTCACCCAAGAAAAATGAAAACATACATCCACCTAAAGGTCTGTAGTTGAATATTTAAGGCTAGGGTTAGTAGCCTCATTCATAGCAGTGTATTCAGCTGTTGGAGTGGATAAATAAATTGTGGTATTCATACAATGGAGTGCTACTCAGCAATTAAAAGGAATAAATACTAATATTATAGATACAACAATATGGATGAGTCCTCAGAAGCATTATGCTAAGTGAACACACACACACACACACACACACACACACACACACACACACACACACACACACACACACACACACACACACACACACACACCTCTCCAGCATTCCTTAGCATTCCCAGGAATGGATGTTTTTGGTGTGGAGAAGGTTGGATTACGGATAGTATTGAGACAGATATGATACAGAGGAATGAGTGCTAGATTCACTGATAATAGTGCTGCTGCTGATGGTTGTAATTCAATGAGTATAATGCCGGTCACCATGCTGATTACTTAAGTGCATCCTCAGAGACTTCCCTGCCATTCCAGTGGTTAAGAATTTACACTTCCACTGCACAGGGCACAGGTTTGACCCTGGTTGGGGAACTAAGATCCTGCATGCCACCACGTGAGGCCCAAAAAATAAATAAATAAAAATAAAAAGTGTCCTTACTGTTAATTTTCATAGTGACTCTGATTAGATATTATCATCCCTATTTTAGTAGAAACTGAGGTCTAATTGGATTTAAGCACGTTGCTCAGTTATACCACTAGAGTATTCAAACTCTTGAATGTTTGACACCAAAAAGCATGTTCTTAACATAAATAAAAGTATAAGTGCCAGGGAGACAGGGAATTTTGTTTGTTTCTGTTTTCATCACTGTATCCCCAAAGTCATAAAACGATGGCAGTTGCATAATGAGTATTTCTTTTTTTCTTCTTTTTTTTTTTAATGAATATTTCTTTAAAAATTATTAGAGATATCAACTTTTGGAAGATATAAAAAAACAAACTGGAAGAGGCAAAGAAAACTATATGAAGATATATGATTTTTTTTTTTTTTTTTGCGGTACGCGGGCCTCTCGCTGTTGTGGCCTCTCCCGTTGCGGAGCACAGGCTCCGGACGCGCAGGCTCAGCGGCCATGGCTCACGGACCCAGCCGCTCTGCGGCATGCGGGATCTTCCTGGACCGGGGCACGAATCCGTGTCCCCTGCATCGGCAGGCAGACTCTCAACCACTGCGCCACCAGGGAAGCCCTATGATTTTTAAATGATTGCAAATATGGTGGTTAGGCTGATGTTTTCCGTTTAGGCATTTATCATATCAGATGACTTTGTGTTAAATTATGTTATTTGTGTTCCAGTATAATCTACTATTTTAAAAAGTGAACAGAATGATTATAGAGTAGGATCTTGTAGTTGATTCTCATCTTCATGGCTTTGTAAATTTTTTCCCTCTGGCAAATTTTGGTGGCATCCAGATATAAGATCAGACCAAGTGGATGTTATAGGTTACAACTAAAATGCAAGCCCTTTCCATATCTATCTCTATATATAATTCTATATCTAGAATCTTAAATACTTTAATGTAGAAATTCTACTTCTAGGACTCTCTTAATTGGAAACTGATTATTTTCTTCACATAGATTAACAAAAATATTTGTGCATGAATCATTTGGTTTTATAACATTGATCTCATCTGTAATATGGTTCCCTCTAAAGAACTAAATCAAATGTAGGTGATTAAAATATTTAATATTCTCAAGTTTAGAAGGAACATTTATTTTTCTTCCATAGATAACTGTGTATGAAGAAGAAAGAACACTTTATCTATACATATAGTTAATTGGGATGCAGCTAGAACATCAACAATATCAACAACAAAAACAACAAGATTTATAAATCATCTGAAATAAAGGTCACACATTTTGCTTATAGGAAAGTTCCTCAGGTCCTTAAAAGTCAGAACCTATGTATACAACATTTTATTTAGGCATTTTATCATTTCAAATGAGCTTGTGTTGAATCGTATTTGCTATGTCCTAATAAAATTTGCTATTTAAAAAAAATGAATAAAGTACATACTCAGTTTTAACAAGCTTAATACTTCATTTCCCAACTTTAAAAGAGTAAAAAAAAAGATTGGAGTTGCTGAAAGAAGACACATTGAGAGAAGTTGGGTTCAACAGGTGATAGCCTGAGCAAAGAAGCAAACCAAAATCATGATAAGAATTAAGCATAAAAATTTAAAAATCATGGTAGTTTGGAAATTGTTTATTATAGAGACAACCAACCTTTTACATCTTAGTAGTTCCTGAGAAATTGACCATAGTAATGTAAATATTTATAAGTGTATATATATATATGTAAGAGTTTATGTTCATTTTATTAAAACATACTTAATAGTCATTATAACAGTCAAGCAATATATACTTTGTTGTTCAGTTTCAGAAATAGTAAGTATGTAGTCTAGTTTCAATGTCAAATTTATTGAAGTATAATTTATATACACTAAATCAACCAGTTTTAAGTGAAGAGTTCAATAGGTTTTGGCAAATGTTATTTAACCATTGAGATCTAAAAATTTTTTATTACTCCAGAAAGTTGTCTCATTCTCTTTTGTCATCATTCCCCAACACACATCCACTCCTGTCCCCAGGCAGCCACTGATCTACTTTCTGACATTAAAGATTAGTTTTGCCTTTTCTAGAATTTTGTAGAAATCAAAGTGTACACAGCATGTACACTTCTGTATTTGGCTTTCTTTCCTCTGTGTAATAACTGAGATTTATCTATGTTGTGTGTATTTATACTTTTCCTTTTTATTGTTGAATAACATTCCATTGAATGGATATACCACAGTTTATCTCTTCACCTGTTTTTGGATATTGGGTTGTTTGAGTTTTTGGTTTTTATGAATGAAGCTGCTGTTAACATTCAGGTACCAAGTTTCCACTTCTCTTGGGTATAAATATCTAGGGGTGGAATTGCTAAGTGTTATGGCAGGTATATAACTTTATAAGAACTTGCCAAACTTCTTTTCAAAAATGGTTGTACCATTTTACGTTTTCATCAGTAATGTTTGAGTGTTCCATTGCTTTACATCCTTATCAACCTTTGATATTGTTAGTCTTTTTAATTTTAACAATTCTAGTGGGTGTATAGTTGTAATATAAGTTTTAAAATATTTATTTCCCAAGTAGCTAAAATTAAGGAAAAGTTTAGAGTTGGATAGTGATAAGCTTCATATTATCCATAAAATTTGATAATCTAGAATAATTCTTTTTTCTAAAGCTTTTATATAATTGAGATTTCAGAACGATATAAAATTGCATCACATACTTTTCAGCTCCATTGTAATCTCCAGTTAAGAGTAATAAGCAGTTCCAGCTGTTTGATAGAACATCAGATTATTTGGTATTTCTTTTGTTTTCAATTTAATATAATCCAAATTTTACCTATAAAACTTACATATTTAAATAGGGATATGTGTTTTTCGGGATAAAAAGTATTCTAGTGATAATGAAAAAATATTCTAATGATAGTGGTAGCCATCATTCATTGAATATTAGTTATATGCCAGATCTAAGGACTTTATATATATAATCTCATTTAATTCTTACAAAGTGAAATATGTATTTCCATTTTACAAGGAAGGCAATTAGGGCACTGAGAGATATGAATTTCATAAGGTTAAAAAATACTTGAATCAGGACTTCCGTGGTGGCACAGTGGTTAAGAATCCACCTGCCAACGCAGGGGACACGGGTTCAAGCCCTGGTCCGGGAAGATCCCGCATGCTGCAGAGCAACTAAGCCCATGTGCCACAGCTGAAGCCTGCGTGCCCTAGAGCCCATGCTCCGCAACAAGAGAAGCCACTGCAATGAGAAGACCGAGCACCCCAACAAAGAGTAGCCCCCGCTCTCCGCAGCTAGAGAAAGCCCACGCGCAGCAACAAAGACCCAAGGCAGCCAAAAATAAAAATAATTTAAAAATTAAAAAAAAAGACTTGAATCAATAGATTGATAAAAGAACAAGTGAATTAGAAGAAAAAAAATTTTGGAATCCATTTTATGGAGCCTAAAATCTTTCAACTTGGCTTTGATGACATTGGAATACTAAAAAATGAAAATATTTACTTCAGAGAACTGACTGGCCCCTAGATTTTTTATAGAAAGTTGTAATTTAACTTTTTGACCTTTCTAGTAATTTTTTTGCCTTATAGTATAAAATTTAGTTACTAATTTTGTAACTAGTTTGTTTGTTACTAGTGTAGAATTAAATGCTCTCAAGTATATGACCTCATAAAGATTTAGTAACAAATTAATTTTGTTATGCTGAATAAGAAAAAAGTTGCATATAATACAGTTTTAGCACAGTATCCAGTGTGTGAATGATTTAATGAAATATTTGAACCTTTTTGTTTTGTTTTGTTTTGTCTTGTTTTGTTTCCAGGAAGGTTATGTTCAAAAGAAAAAGGAACTATGGGGAATCTGTATCTTTATTGCAGCAGTTGACCTAGATGAGATGCCGTTCACTTTCACTGAGCTGCAGAAAAACATTGAAACCAGGTAAAATTTCCTATATTAATATAGGCCTCTGCCATTAAAGAAAACTATTTCTGAACTATCATTTTAATAGACTTTAGGGAATTAGTGGAAAATGCTAAAATTAAATAAAACGTAGAAAACTTAGGTCAACCAGTGAACTCCTGTTCTCCATTAGAGCCCTTAATGAAGGTGTATTTTTGCCGCACTTTCTTAAACATGTAGCAGTTTCTGTCCTGGGAAAATTTCCATTGTGTCTCTCACTATCTGTAAACTTTCTTAATTGTAGCTGTTGATAAAATGGACAAAAAAAGCAAAGATTTATGAAGTAGACTTATATATTAAAACCTTTGTAAAAGTAGTATGAGTCTATCTTAAAGGAATTTAGTTGATTTATTAAAGTTTAAGATTATTTAATATAATAGATATTATAATTATATATGTTTTGAGACTGTATGTTCAGTTGAGTATCTATTATAATACTTGTCCCTGTAATTACTTAATTAAAGTCTGTATTGAGTTTCTAAGCCTAATAAGAGGAGTTTACTGTTTCCAGTAAGTCAAGAGAAGCCTTCTGGGAATTCCAGTCATTTCTTTTGCAGTATGTTTATGAAATGTAACAGTAAATAATTTTACCAAAAAGATAGTAGTATATGTTTTTTCTTGGATAAAACCGTCTAGAGTTAGACATAATTGGTATTTTGTGTAAATGAGATAAATTGTTGCATATTTTAGTAACTTTTTCTTATTACCTCTAAATAAAATGTGGAAACAAAGACCTTGTATGTTCATATTTAACTTATTGAATATGAATTGGTTTACCTCTCACAGATTTCACAGTTTAACTTTATTAACTAAAATCACTAAATCAAAATAGTTTTTATATAGCTGAAAAATAATCTAAATACAGAGGTAAAATTTTACGTTGATTTATTCATTTATTCAGCATACGTTTTCGTGACCTCTGAGGATCAGAAAGAGAATGAATGTTTGGGTTAAGATAGACTGGGTTTGTTTTACAAGGTATATGACTTGGAGCAGATTGCTTATCCTTATTAAGTCTCGGGTTCCTTTCCTTTCCTGCGAAATAAAAATTATTAACTACTTGATAGAATTTTGAGAATTAAATAACTTATAACGAGCAGAGAAGTAAATAGTTCTCGAGTCAATGCCTGGAACACCATAGGTGCTGATGAGGTCTTGATCTCTTTTTTTCTGTAGATTCCTCCTATTACCCGCACCACCCCCCCAAACAAAAAGGGGGAAGGAAACAAAACTTACCAACTGCTAGGCGCTGTGTTACTCTACTAGGTTCTAATGATATAGAGGTGAGATATAGTCTCTGACCTCAAGAAACTCATCCAGTTTAAATTAAACAGATGACTGCAATACAGTGTTATATAGCTATCCATAGACTGCCAAATAAATATGACAGAGAAAGTCTATTACATCCTTTATCTATAAGGTGAAAGAATTTTCCCGGAAAAGATTTTCCTAAACTTTTTCTCTGAGTATTCATAGAGTAACTCTGATTTATAAAATGGGCATATCATAAATAATATCACTACAATAATTATAGTAATGTATTTGGTACAACTTTTTCTTAGGGCATCTCTCAGTGTTCTGATAACTATCCAGGAATGTTATCTAAACCACTGCTTCTTAAAAGTACTCTGGTGAAGGGCTAGTTTCTTTTCTTCCCAGTATGTCATAGACTGATGTTTTAAAAATAAGTAATATAAATTAATTACTAGAAAAATGAAACAAAAATCATACTAAACACAGGACTAAATTTTTTATTATTGGATTCAGCAGGCATTAAAATTAGTGTCAAATTGCCATAAAAGCTTTTAAGTGTTTACCCCCAATTTCTGTACTTAATTGTGGACTGGTAAACAGTTTATGGACCATTATCAATCCATGGAGCACTGCTCCTAGAATATGTAGTTATCTACAGATCTGTGTGTTTTAATTATGGCTTTTTATGCCTGTCTGCCTGCCTTCCTCTCACCTTCCTGCCTTCACTTCTTTCCTTCAGAGGAGGACTACAGAAGGAATAGAGACCCACTTAAGTTACCCCTAGAAAAAGAAGGCTTTTTAGTAACAATTCACAGTTTTCATGGTGCTCCATGGATAGGTATTGCCATATATCTCAAAACTGCAATTGAGAGTGGTTCCTGAATAAATGCCATTCTAAGTTTGATTTCTTTTTCTCAGCAGGTTAGCTCCATTCTTTTTCTTTTTTTAAAGGATCGATTTTTATTTATCTATTTATTTTTGGTTGCGCTGAGTCTTCATTGCTGCGTGTGGGCTTTCTCTAGTTGCATCTAGCAGGGGCTACTCTTCATTGCAGTGTGCGAGCGTCTCATTGCTGTGGCTTCTCTTGTTGTGGAGCACGGTCTCTAGATGTGCGGGCTTCAGTAGTTGTGGCATGCGGGCTTGGTTGCTCCGTGGCGTGTGGGATCTTCCTGGACCGAGGCTTGAACCCATGTCCCCTGCGTTGGCAGGTGGATTCTTAAACCACTGCGCCACCAGGGAAGTCCCCATTCTTTTTCTTTTCTAAGCAGCATCATGATTATCTACTCTGTATCATTTCTATTCCTCCTTTATTTGCTTTCCCACAAAGCTTGTCATGGCTGCCCCAATCCCCTCTATATCAGTGGAACTTTTCATAACCTTCTTTTGTGTTCTGTGCCCTCTGCTGATTAGCTGAGGCTTTTATTTTTCCAGTTCCCAAGATAAATGTCTGAGTGGTACAGCCCTCTTTTTAGAATGAAGCCTGTAACTCACTGGTTGCTAGACAGCCTATGGATGGGTCTAGTGACTACCCTGTAGTTTAGTTAGCTGCTTTGGTATAACTCCTTAGACAAACTTGATTAGAAGTGAGTATGTGAGGTGCAGTTGATGATTGCTATCTGTAGCGCCCTATTTTTCAGAAGTCAAAAATGTATGTATTGATATTTCAAATAGGTTAATTTTTATAGAAAACAATAAACAATGATTTAAAGTTATTATTTAAACAACTTAAAATTTTTAATCAGTTTCCCTTTTCCCTTCCCCAACAATTCAGTCCTAAAACCGCTAGTGGGCTGAAGAAAGTAGGTGTGTGCATCTGTGGTGGGGAGCACTGTGGTGCCCAGAGGAGGATGCCAGAGCCACAGTGGGATGAGAAGGTCATCCACCAGGGGCCTGGGGCTTCTTGACATGGGCTGCTTGCTGTGCAATGTCAGAGACCAAGCAGGGTGTGCGGGCAGCTGGTATAGGGAGTCATGGCACATGTGGGGTAAGGGCAGTCTGGGGTGAGGAGTCAGAGCCCTACTAGGGTGAGGACGGTGTCCATGTGGAGGCGGGAGGGCAGTCCAGGATGGGGGGAGTCAGTCTGAGCAGGAGAAGAGGGTGCCCATGTGGAGGAGTGGGTAGCTTGGTACTTATATAGGGGGATTGATTAAATGAGTAAATTAAAGATAAGTGGGTCACAGGTTTCTCACTGTCAAAGAAGAGTTATGAATGTGGAAAGGGAAACACTGGAAGGAACCCTGTAGTTTTTGTGTTGGAATTGGGTAAATGGTTGGGAACTTGTGATTTTAAAACATATAGATAGATACAGAAATAAATATATGTATATGTCTGTTATAACCCTTATGTTTTTTTTCTGTGTTCTTGATGATAAGTAGATGTAGGCATAGATGTATAGATATAGTGGTATAGGTTGAAGACTAGTTGATTTTTTTCCTCTTTAAATTCTAGTAAAATGCAAAATCTAAGTTCCTTCTAAAGGATATATAATAGTGATTTGGTGTAGAGCTAACGTGTTTTGAATTGAAATGTCTATGCTTTGAAAATGAAACAAAATGAATTTTTAAAGTTATGGATTCACTTTTTTCTATTCTTTCCTTTGTAGTGTCTATAAATTTTTTGACTTACTAAAAGAAATCGATACCAGTATCAAAGTTGATAATGTTATGTCAAGACTGTTGAAGAAGTATAATGTGTTGTGTGCACTCTACAGCAAATTAGAAAGGTAAAGTACAAATTTTATTAGGGTTACACCCTGCTTTTTCGTATCATTGTTCATGATTAGCTTCCATCTGGGAACTGTTACATTCTTAGTAAAGTTATTAAGTATTACACCTTAGATTTGTCCCCTTAATATTCTTTTTTTTTTTTTTTTTTTTTTTGCGGTACGCGGGCCTCACTGCTGTGGCCTCTCCCGTTGCGGAGCACAGGCTCGGGACGCGCAGGCTCAGCGGCCATGGCTCACGGGCCCAGCCGCTCCGCGGCATGTGGGACCCTCCCGGACCGGGGCACGAACCCGTGTCCCCTGCATCGGCAGGCGGACTCTCAACCACTGCGCCACCAGGGAAGCACTGTCCCCTTAATATTCTTAACTTTCTTATTTGTCCAATCATATTCATTCTGAATGTTTCTTCCAAAATTACTTGTTTTACTCATGGTTCTCATTTTTTTTTTTAACAAACTTAAAGCTAGTTTCCACTTTAGCCTTCTCTGCCAGAAGACTTGTAGCTCTGAATGGAAGGGTGACCTAAATTTAGAATTCTTCCTAATGGTGATACTATGTTTAGAAAAACAAAGCATGTTGGCACTGGAAGGTGTATGTGACTTATACTACTGAGCTATGACCTGTATTCTCCATGGTGGTTTAGAAGAAGTAGTTTTTTTGTGTAATATCCTTTAAGAAACTTCAGCCTATCAGCTGTTTTATTCCACATAAATTAAGAAACTACAACAAGCATTAATGAAGTGACTGTTAGTACCCGCTATGTGTTAGATGCTAGGGATGTAAAATCTTATGCTACTATGATCATCAATTAGCTTATAGTAAATAAATAAATTCTATCTTTTAATAAAAATAAGTGCAATAATCATTTGATGCGCTACTGTAGAGGATTATTTGTAAGAAGTAGAAATTATGTAGTGGGCAAAATACTGTGTATATTTAAAGGTAAGAAGAATAATTATGGGGTGAAAAAACTATAGAAGAAGGCAATGTCTGAGTAGGGTTTAAAGGATAGATAGAAACTCAGCAAGCAAAATATGTGGAGACTGGGACTGAGTATCCTAGGCAGAGTGATTAGCATGTGTCCAAAGCCAGAGCAGTACTGTGAAGTATTGTGATATTGCTAATTGCTAAAAGGTAGGAGGGAATTAGACTGATAGTGAGCTTGGACTTTACCCAGCAGGAGATGGAAAGTTATTGATTTTAAGCTAGAGAGTGACATAGTCAGATTTGGCTTTTAAAAGGTCACTCAGGCCTTTGCAAAAGAGATTTGGAATTTTTATTGACTAGTTATATGAGATAATTTAGTGTATATTGGCCTTGAAGTAGATCAATAAGATTTCTTCTATCTTATATGTACCTTCTTTTGAAGAGCAGTTGGGAAGATTAACTGTGATACTAAAGCCTATTTATTTCAGGGTAGACTATATGTGTATATATGGCAATGTGCTGTAGTGATTATGATAACTTTTAAAAAGCTAAACAGATCTAGATATTAATAATTTTGTCATTCATTGACTGTGTGAGCTAGGGAAACGTACTTAACGTCTTTAAACCTCAATTTGAATCTGTAAAATATAGCTAATAATGCTCTCCTTGCAGAGTAATTGTAAGATAATGTTACTGGTTAGCTCACCTCCTAGCACATACTAAATGCTAAATAAACAGTAGCATTTAAAGCTATTATTAACTACATTAATGCTGTCACATAGAAATATAAAAATGCAAGCCATATATATATATATATTTATTATTTTTGGCTCTGTTGGGTCTTCATTGCTGCACGTGGGCTTTCTCTAGTTGCAGCGAGCAGCGGCTACTCTTAGTTGTGCTGCACGTGCTTCTCATTGTGGTGGCTTCTCTTGTTGCGGAGCACGGGCTCTAGGCACGTGGGCTTCAGTAGTTGTGGCTCGCGGGCTCTAGAGTGCAGGCTCAGTAGTTGTGGTGCACGGGCTTAGTTGCTCCGTGGCATGTGGGATCTTCCCAGACCAGGGCTCGAACCTGTCTCCCCTGCATTGGCAAGCAGATTCTTAACCACTGCGCCACCAGGGAAACCCAAGCCATATATTTTAAATATTCTAGTAGCTGCATGACAAGTAAAAAGAAACAAGTGAAATTAATTTTAACATTTTATTTAACTCATATATCCCAGAATATCAAATTTCAACACATAAATTTGTATACAGATGTTCATGGCAGCATTATTTATAATAGCCAAAAAGTGGAAACACCCTGAATGTCCATCAGCTGATGAATGGATAAGCAAAATGTGATCTATCCATATGGTAGAATATTGTTCAGCCATAAAAGGGAATAAAGTTCTGCTACATGCTACAATATGGATGAACCTTGAAAACATTAAGCTAAGTGAAAGATACCAGACACAAAAGGCCACATATTTCATTTTATGATATGTCCAGAACAGGCATATCCATGAGATGGAAGATAGGTTAGTGATTACTAGGGAATGGGAAGTGAAGGGAATGAGGGGTATCTGTTAAAAGATGTGGGGTTTCTTTTTGGGGTGATGGAAATTTTAGATAACGGTGATGATTACATAACAAAGTGAATATACTAAAAACTACTGAATTTATACACTTTAAAATGATGAATTTTATGTTAGGTAAATTATATTTCAACAGGAAAACATGAAACCAATAGAGAAGTTTTACATTCTTTTTCTCATACTAAGTATTTTTTTTAATACTTTGGTATGTAATTTACATTTACAGCACAACTTCATTTGTACCAACCAAAAACACTTCAGGTGTTCAGTAGCCATAGGAGCTTGTGGTTAACATATTAGACAGCATAGATTTATATTGTATGTTATTATCTTTACTGTGTGATAACATTCTATTCTGAGTTACATTAAATTACAAAATGATATAAAACAACGCATCTGACATTAAACATATTTTCTATAATTATAAAAATTCCCTCTTGATTACCATCTGCTTTTTTTATATAAGATAGTAGTTTTCTCTGTGTAAATTTTTGATCTACATATTTTTTGTGACTGGCTTCTTTCGCTTAGCATGTTTTCATGGTTCACCCATGTTGTAGCATGTTTCAATACTTCATTACTATTTATTATGGAATAATATTCCATTGTATGCCTACATCACATTTTATTTATCCATTCATCTACTTATAGTCATTTGGGTTGTATGTCTTTTAAAGTAGTTGACAGTATAAAGGAGAGCAAGTGTATATAGAGTTTGTTATATTAACTTTATTATATATCATTTCGTCTTCTCTTCATTTGTTTCCATGGATTTGATTTATCATCTTGTGTCATGTGTTTACTCCAATGCAGCTTTGCTCCTACCCACCTCTTTGTTCTGCTGTTGTCAAACACATTACATTTCATGTGTTAGAGGCCCAAGGATGCAATATATACATATTGTGTTATGCAATTATATTTTATATCAATTAGGAGAAGAAATATGTAATTATACCATCTTTCATAATAACATAATTACCTTTACCAGTGCTCTTTGTTTATTCATGTGGATGTGAATTACTGTCTTGGGTCATTTGTTTTCAGCCTGAACTTCTTTTACTATTTTTTTATAAGATGAGTTTGCACATTCTCTGTTTTTGTTTGAGACTATCTATTTCACCATCACTTGTGAAAGGTAGTTTTGCTGTATATATGAGTCTTAGTTTACATTTTTTTCTTTCTTTGAGTATGTAATCCCACTGCCTTCTGATCTTCATTGCTTCTGTTGAGAAGTCACCTGTTAATGTTATTGTGTTCCCTTGGATATGATGGATCATTTTTCTCTTGCTGCTTTCAGGATTTTCTCTTTGTCTTTCAACATTTATCCTATGATATATCTAGGTGTGAATCTCTTTACATTTATTCAACTTGGAGGTGGTTCTGTTTCTTGGATGTGTAGACTTGGGAGTTTTCAGCCATTTACAAAATTTTTTTTTTCTCTCTCTCTCCATTCTTTTCTGGTACTCCCATTACACATATATTCGTGTATCTTTTGGTGTCCAAAAAATACACCAATATATTTTTTGGTGAGCCTCTTCTGTGAGCCTCTTCATTTTTCTTCTTCTTTTATCTCTTTGTTCTTTAAACCACATAATCTCTTTTGATCTGTCTTCAAGCTTAGTGCTTCTTTTGTTCTGCCAGCTCAGATCTACTTTTGAGCCCCTCTAGTGAATTTTTTATTTTGGTTATTATACTTTTCAACTCAAATTGCCCTTTGGTTCTTTTAAAGTAATTTCTGTCTTTTTATTGATAATCCTCTGTTGGTTGAGACATTGTCAGCGTACCTTTTTTTCTTCTTTAAGCATGATTTCCGTTAGTCCTTTGAACATATTTATAATTGCTGTTTTGAAGTCTTTGTTAAGTCTGACACTTTGATTCTCTTAAATAAAATTACTGTTATCTGCTTTTTTCCCTATGTAGAGGTCACGCTTTCCTGCTTCTTTGCATATTTCATATTTATTTTTGAAAACCAGACATTTTTTGTAACATTGTAGTAACGCTGGGAGCTGATTCTTTTCTCTCATGGGGCTTGCTGCTGTTGTTTTGTCTTTGTTATTTGTTTAGTGGCTTAGCTGTACTATCTCAATGAAGTCTTTTTCTCCCACAGTGTGTAGCCTCTAATCTTGCTCCTTAGTGTAGCCTTGGACAGGTGCATAGTCACTCAGAGCTGACAGTGGTTTTAGCTGGGTTCTCCTTGGCTATCCTTTCCCTGTTCTTAAGCTAACTGCCTCTGTTGATATCACACCTAGTTGCTACCTCTCACTATTTGCCGACTGATTGCTTTATTGTTTTTTTTTTAAATAAATGTATTTATTTATTTATTGGCTGCCTTGGGTCTTCGTGGCTGCATGCGGGCTTTTCTCTAGTTGCAGCGAGTGGGGTCTACTCTTTGCTGCAGTGCCTAGGCTTCTCATTGCGGTGGTTTCTCTTGTTGTGGAGCACAGGCTCTAGGTGCGCGGGCTTTCATAGTTGTGGCTTGCGGGCTCTAGAGCACAGGCTCCGTAGTGGTGGCGCATGGGCTTAGTTGCTCCGCGGCATGTGGGATCTTCCCGGACCAGGGCTCGAACCCATGTCCCCTGCATTGGCAAGGGGATTCGTAACCACTGCACCACCAGGGAAGTCCTGCTTAATTGTTTTTGACAATGCTCTGGGTCACAAGTTGCTTTACAGTCTAATCCAATTAAATTTGGCTCCCTCTGCAGGAGTAGTATTTGAGGCTAGCCTTGAGGCTTATTTTGATACTAGGAGAGCTATTCTTAGCTGTTTCTTTCTCTGGTTCTCTCCTAGATGATCTAAGATTTAGCTTTTTGCTCTCATAAGATCTGTTGGCTTTCTCTTACTTGCTTCCACCAAAGTCTGTATTGCTTTCAACAGTTCTCTTATTCTTGAGCATCCCCACACTCCATTCCAAATGAGTTCCCTTGGGGAGGGCTCAAGGCTCTGTGTTCTTAGAGGGCCTGCCTCTCCCCTAGGCACCACTTCTGTGCCACTGCTTGGGAGGTCAGGATGGGGGCAGTGGTCTCTTCTCTTGGAGTGATACCTCTGTTTTAAGAGTAGGGCACTGAGAAGAGGCGATAGCCCCTGGTCTTCCCAGATTGCCTTTCTGGGCTGGAACCTCTGTCCTATGAGCTGCTCGGCAAGAGAAGTCAGTATTTTTGATGTGCTCTGTGCCTGGAGTAAAACTTTACCCTATGAGTGGGGGCTAAGCGGAAGACAGGAGCCCCAGACCTCTCAGCTCCTCTTGCTTGGGATAGACTTTCTGCAACACAGATCTGGGGGCGATGAGAAATGCTGGGAGCCTACTCTTCCCAGAGAGATAGTTCTAGGCTGGGAGCTGGAGAGAGAAGAGCCCTGTGTCTTGGCTACACCTGCTGGGAGTAGAGCTTTGTTATGCTGAGCTGGAGAGGAGGAGGAAATGAGTTTTGCTTTGAATTCTATAGACTGTCATTGTTCTTACCAAGATTTAGTAGATTTTCTTGAAGAAATATTTCCTTTCTTTGTTGTATGCCCTTAGGAAAATTTCCAGAGACTTTAAATGGTTTTTTAAAAATAGTTTTACCAATTGTAGTTATTACATTAGGAAACAGGTCTGCAGAGAACCTTCTCCACTATTCCAGAAGTCATTGTCCTAAATAGGTAGGTTTTATACAGTAAGTCCCCTACATATGAATGAGTTCCATTCCGAGAGCATGTTCGTAAGTCCAATTTGTTCGTAAAGTCCAGCAAAGTTAGCCTAGGTACCCAACTAACACAATTGGCTACATAGTACTGTACTGTAAAAGGTTTATAATACTTTTCACACAGATAATACATAAAAAATAAACAAACACAAAAAAATAAAGAAAACATTTTTAATCTTACAGTACAGTACCTTGAAAAGTACAGTAGTACCAGCTACGTCACTGCTACTTTTACGCTTGCTTCCAGACATCCTGGCCTTGAAATAAAGACACTGTACTACTGTACTCTATACAGTACTGTACAGTAAAGTACACAAAGCACAACCACTTGTAGAGGATGCACACAGGTGACAGTGTACGCCAGACACGTGAACTAACTTACATGATTGGACGTGTAAACTCACATTCACATCTTTGAAAGTTTGCAACTTGAAGGTTCGTGTATAGGGGACTTACTGTAGTACTTTCAGTTGTGTTATTTCAGTGACACTATTAGTTAAATAAGCTTTTATGACCTGATCTGAGATTCTAACCAGATCAAGGTTCAATTACAGAATGTATTCCAAGTTAGAAATGCACATATCGAATCCAGTCTTTTTGTAATTAGATATTACAGTGATATGTGAAATGTCATAAATTGGAAACATCTACTTTAACTTTGTTTTATAATGCTGTACTTGAGAAAAAATGTATCCTTCTTAAAATAAGATGAATAAAGCATGATAAAACTGATTTCTAAATTATGAAAAAAATTTAAAAGTAACTTTTAAAAAAGCCATAATGTTAACATAATTATTTCTTCCTTTCAGAACATGTGAACTTATATATTTGTCACAACCCAGCAGTTTGTAAGTACCTCAGAGTATGTTATTTTTCACTTTTGGGGTTTTTTTTTTTTTTAGAGATTTTTGTGGAAAAATCCCAAACACGTTGGTAGTTTCAGGGTTAGTTTGATTGACTGTTCTATGATACTTCATAAGTTAAGGTCATAGATTTAAGCCCTATACGGATTATTTATCTTTTCACAAAGAAAGTGGTATGAAATACATGGCTTTTACTACAAGGGAGAACTAATAAGGTCGAAGTTAATTCAGAGCAACATTTTACCAGCTCTGGGAAAAATGCCAATTCATTGACAAACTCTTTTTTCAGAGTATATTATAGACATTTTATTAACTAAGACTCAGAGCATAACTTTTGAGTAAGAATAAACATGAACGTCTATATTAAAATTTCTAAGTAGTCTTTTTAAATGCATGATACATGTTCCAACAGTATACCATTGTAAGAGCTCTAGAGTTTTTCTTCGGAAACAGAACGAGTATTATGTGAGATTTTCTGCCTCATTGAAGTAATGATACCGAAGATGATTGATACAAAGGGAAATTGTGTATTAATTAACTCTATTAATTTCACTCGTTAATTCCAACAAGTGAATAACTTAACGTTTATGAAGACATAGTGTTAATTTGGTAGAGTCACCCAAACCTCTATTTTTCTGCTCACAGAAAATTGATTTTAATTAGAAAAGAGAGCAGAAAAGCATTAATTGGAAACATGTATGTCATATTATACTACTTTCTGTGCATAGTTTTAGATTACAGTAGAAGATATTCAATATTTTCTTTAAGAAATGTATACTACTTTGGGAAAATATAAATAACATGGTGAAAACACTAACTGAATTGAGACAAATTGAATTCATGTGTAAATTGTGCATTTAAGACGGACTGTATTCTATTATGCGATCAACTCTGGTCTATAATTGTAAAAAATGAAAAAAAACGGTGTAGTTGGAAAACAGTGTGAGTTTTTTTTTTCTTCTTTCTATTTGTTTATTAGGATATCTACGGAAATAAATTCTATGTTGGTGCTAAAAGTTTCTTGGCTCACGTTTTTACTAGCTAAAGGTAAAGTCATTATGTTTGTTACATACTAATGTTTCAAATGTAGTAATTGATAATTATTTCGAGTAAGCTCAAAATTTTAATTCTGGGCTTCCCTGGTGGCGCAGTGGTTGGGAGTCCGCCTGCCGGTGCAGGGGGCGCGGGTTCGTGCCCCGGTCCGGGAGGATCCCGCATGCCGCGGAGCGGCTGGGCCCGTGAGCCGTGGCCGCTGGGCCTGCGCGTCCGGAGCCTGTGCTCCGCGGCGGGAGAGGCCACAGCAGTGAGAGGCCCGCGTACCGCAAAAAAAAAAAAAAAAAAAAAAAATTTAATTCTATTTAATATTGTTCCTCCTTCCCCCTAGTTCTTTGTGTGACTTTTTAACTGTTAGAAAGTTCTTGTAATTCTGATACTGGAGGCAACCTTGAAAATGTTTCATTTCATTTCTTTTTCTAATATTTTTCATTCTTTCCTATTTTTAAGAATAATGTTACTGTTTTTATAAAAGTGATATATATTCATGATAAAGAATGCAAATAATACAGCAAAGCGCAAAGAAAAATGTAGAAAAATTACCCAAAACCCGCCTAGAAATAATCATCATTAAAATTATGTGGTTGTATGCACAAAAATGTATCTGGAGTAACATTCTGATTAAAAAAGGTGGGTGGATGAGTGCACTCACAAACATATATATAAGTTTCTAAAAATAATATATTGTCCTATGTTTAAAATATAAAAATTAATTTTACTCATTTTATAGAAGAAAATAAGAGAAATGGAAGGAATTGCTTAAATTTATGTTTTGTCACTTAAGCAGTGTTATTTCTTAAAATATTTCTCTAAGATTATGAAAACATTAAGAGGTTAGAATCTTTATTTAACTTTGTGTTTTGAGTTAAGGCAATATATATTAATCTGCTCTGAAGAAAAAGAATTCTCACTCTTCCTGTCACCTTCCTATTCCCTACTTTCAGATTTGCTTTTTTTTGTTATCATTACATTACCAAAGATTATAATATTTACATCCTGTTCTGTAATTATAATTATCACAGTTGTTTTGTCTCATTTATGTATTTAAAATGGATTCTAAGCTTATTGTCACTCCTGTATCATAGCTTCTCCATTTCTGAGTTCTTTATTTTGGTCTATCCTTAGCTGACTGGATTTTACCGTGAAGGAGTTTTTCAAAAAAGCCTTTTTGGCCCCATGTTTTCTATGTTTGACATGTTTATGAACCATGTCTGTAGTCTTTAGACTTGAAGGACAACTTGGTTGAGTATTCAGGGGTTTTTTTTGTGTGTGTGGTACGCGGGCCTCTCACTGCTGTGGCCTCTCCCGTTGCGGAGCACAGGCTCCGGACGCGCAGGCTCAGCGGCCATGGCTCACGGGCCCAGCCGCTCCGCGGCATGTGGGATCTTCGCGGACCGGGGCACGAACCCGTGTCCCCAGCATCGGCAGGCGGACTCTCAACCACTGCGCCACCAGGGAAGCCCGAGTATTCTGTTCTTGTATCATGTTTTTTTTTTCCTCAGGACACTATTTTCTGGAATTGAACATTGCTGTTGAGAAATCTGAGACTAGCTTAATTTTACCACCCCCCCATTTTGTTCCTTGAATATTTGAAGAATTCCTTTTTTAAAATTTGAGATTTAATACATGAACCAGAAAGTTTCTATACCTTCAGTATTGGGATTATTAGTGGTTTAGCAGTCAGATACCAATAAGATAGAAAATGAATCAAATTAAACTTCTCTTTTAAAAATACTGCACAACATAGAGCCATAAGCAAATATGTCATAGCTATATCATTTGTATATTTTGTGTAGCTACACTATTTTTTTCTTAGGTGTTTATTATATGCATTAATTTCCTTATATACAGCTCTTTATAATAAATATATAGCTCTTTAGTTGTATGTTATATAAACTTTTAGGATTTTGTGCTAAATAATTGCTTTATAGATGACTTTACAATTATGTACTAATTTTATTATTTCCTAATGGCTTTGGTTATTTCTTAATATTTTGGAGTGAGTTGAAATTGAAAATATATGAGGTTTCATAAATAAATAGAACTGAAGACTAACGTGTATCATTCTTCAAAATGATTTTCAGAGGTAGTAAATTTTATAACTCTTACCAAAACTGGAAGTGAGTTTAAAGAAGGAAAAATCAAAATAAATTTAGACATAGGGACTGAATTATTATAATAATACCTAAATGTAAAATTCTCATGATAGACTTATACTTCATTCATAATTTTTTTTAGTAAATTTATTTATTTTATTTATTTATTTTTGGCTGCATTGAGTCTTTGTTGTGTGGGCTTTCTCTAGTTGCAGCGAGCAAGGGCTACTCTTCGTTGTGGTGTGCTGGCTTCTCATTGCAGTGGCTTCTCTTGTTGTGGAGCACAGGCTCTAGGCACATGGGCTTCAGTAGTTGTGGCAGGTGGGCTCAGTAGTTGTGGCTCACGGGCTCTAGAGCACAGGCTCTGTAGTTGTGGCGCACGGGCTTAGTTGCTCCACGGCATATGGGATCTTCCCAGGCCAGGGCTTGAACCTGTGTCCCCTGCATTGGCAGGCGGATTCTTAACCATTGTGCCACCAGGAAGTCCCCATTTATAATTTTATAACTTTATATATTTTTACATGTTGCAAATCTGACTGAATTTTTGCAAAAAAACAAAAAAAAAAGATCTTTAACATGCTTCTAGTGATTGTTGCATAAATGAGTATATGGATACAGCCATACCCACAATTTTCCCTGACTTAAAGACCTCAATCTCTACCTTAAGATGTGGACTTTCTTTGTTTTCAGGGCAAGTTTTACAAATGGAAGATGATCTGGTGATCTCATTTCAGTTAATGCTGTGTGTCCTTGACTATTTTATCAAACTCTCACCTCCCGCATTACTCAAAGAACCATACAGTAAGTATTTTAAGTAATTTATGCCCCTCCTGCTTCATCATTCAACATTTTTTTATGGACTTACACTAGATCCAAAACATGGTTCTAGAGCCAAGGGAATGATAAAAAAGAAATCAGACATGGGTTCTGCCCTTAAGTAGTATAAGATATAGAAGGAGAGATAAGTAAGCAAGTAATTAGAGTATGTGGTTGAAAATAGTCTGGGCCAAAATATAGCAAATACTATGGGAGTTGAGGAGATGAGAAAGTTTTCCCAGCTGGGAAAGACCAAGGAAGACCATAAAAAAGTGGTGGCATTTGAACTGAGTGTTGAAGGAGTAGTTAGGGTTTGAGTGTTGTGGTAAGTTGGGAGACTGCACTCCCAGCAAAGAGAAAATCAAGAGGCAAGGCATAGATATGAATGAGACTGCACAGGGAAGAGTAACGCATTCTATAGAAATGGATTAACTAAATTTTTATTATTGGAAGCTATAATGATTATGTGACTGACTTTTTTTTTGCATATGAACTGTAATTGATCCACTTCAGTGGGTGATGAGATGGGAGGTGTATTTAAATAATAGCTATTGCTGAAATAATTAGATAGCATTAAGCAAAGACAAGTATATTCCTCTTAGAATGGAATTGCTCCCTTTGGTGGCGTGTAGAGTAGGATTTAAAATCACTTAATACGCTATAGAGAAATGTAAACTTAACTAAGGTTTAGCTGACTCCTTGCTCCTAAAATGTTGACAGTATTAGTAATACTAAAAATAATAGGGGAAAGATCAAAACATGGAAGTCTCAAAGTGTTGAAGTGGCTGAAAAGCTGAAGCCTAATTAATCTTCGTGAACAATAACTTCCTGGAAAAATGAAGCAGAATTTTGAAAAGATGTTGAACATGGCTTGACAGAAAAGGCAGGTCATTTAGCAGAAACCACATGCAACACAGAGGGGAAAAAATATAAAACAATATATTTTTAAAATTTCTGAATCTTTAAAAATTTCCTTTGTATGCCTTTTCCTCACTTTTTAAAAATGTTATAACTTTAATAAGTTGATATATAACTTTAGGTTGACAGCCTTTGTTCTTTTGGATAATTCAAATGTACATTTAATTCTGTAAGTGCCATCTTAAATAGAAAGCAGGATAAGGTGTTGAATTAACTGGCTATGATAAACTTGCAGTTAGCTTTTTATTATGAAGAATTTCAGTGAGCATAAAAGAAAGTCGTATAATAAGCTTCCATGTACTTATCACCTGCCCTCAGTGCATAACTTATGGTCAACCCATAGTCCTATCTACTGCTCAGTTCTACCAGCGATATTATTTTGAAGCACACTTTTGCATACCATTTCATCCCTATAAATTTCAGTATGTATCTGTGAAAGATAAAGTCTTTTAAAAAAGCATAATGACAGTACCATTCTCACACCTAAAAATCAATTAATAGTGATTCTTTAATTCCACCAAATATCTAGTAAGTATCCATATTTTCAATTGTTTTATAAAAGTAATTTTAAAAATTTTTACATGTTGACTAAATCAGAATTTAAATAAGATCTCTACTTTGTGATTGGTTGGTATGCTTTTAAGACTTAAAAAGTTCCTCCTCCATCTATCTTTCTCTTTTTTTCTTGTAATTTATTTATTAAATAATCAGGTGGTCTTGTTCTGTTGAGTTTTCCATGGTTTAATTTGTAGTGATTGCATCCATGGTGTAGTCTTAACATGTTCCTCTATCCTGTCAGTTTCTTGTAAGTTGTTTGTTGGGCCTAGAGGCAGTTAATACTTTTTATACTTAGTCGTCTGTAATCTCTTTAATAGCTATATTCACATTCAGTTTGAATTGAAAATGCTCAAAATAATCCAGGGTATTTTTTTAAAATTACAATTTAGTGTCACATGAGTATATTTGTATGCTTAATTTTTTAAAAGCATCATAATTTATTTGCTAAAACTTTAAAAAATTTATTTTTTATCCTGTATCTACAAATTGAATCCATAAATATATGCTTATTATTTTTTAGACTCTATTAAGATAGAAAACATTTTTTCCCCTTGCAGACTAGTAGGATACACTTAATATTAGTTTATAAGTTGGCTATTTCCCTTGCATTTTTCATATTTGTCTGTGGGGTTTTAAATTTCTTTTTGGGCTAGTTGGGGGCAGAAGAGAATAGGGATGGTAGCAACTATGACCAGTATATAACTTACAGTAGATATTCAATAAATAAAGCTGTTAGCTTTTTAATGAAGCCTAATAATAAAAGTAGCAGAATGTTACCAAGATTATTTCTGACCTTCCGAGTTATAATTAGAATACTTCATTATTTTATACAGTGGAATGTGCAATTGTTCTTATCTAATTTACCATTTTTACAGAAACAGCTGTAATACCTATTAATGGTTCACCTCGAACACCAAGGCGAGGTCAGAACAGGAGTGCACGGATAGCAAAACAACTAGAAAATGATACAAGAATTATTGAAGTTCTCTGTAAAGAACATGAATGTAATATAGATGAGGTAATTTAACTTCATGATTTCTTTAAAATAGTTAAAGTAGATTTAGATGTAAGTTCTTCCTAACAGTATTTAATTCTTTTATGATGAGCTTGCTTTTTGTAATTAGTGCCAACTCTTTTGCAGTAGCAAAATATTTAGAAAAAGTTTAATTTTCATATTCAGTTACTTTGATTTTAAAGAGAATAGCTCCCTCACTCTGGAATCATTGAAATGTACATGATTAAAGCAATAGTTTTCAAATGTATTTGTTCTTTGATTCCTCTGTGGTTACTGATACGCCTAATGTTTTCAAGTATCCTGCTCAGAAAACCCTAGTGTTTTGATTTAGTGCTAAGTGATACCAACATTAAGTTTCTGTTTAGCCTTCTGTAGTTACTCTTTTTCTAAATATCACACCAGATGTTAATGACTGGTAGAGGATACATGAACACCCAGGAATTGCTTATCTTGTCAATAAAATCTGGAATGTTAGAATTGGAAGGAATCTTACAAGTAATGTACTTGGCCTCCTTTTACTAATGAATAAACAAGCTTCTAGAGACTGATAGCTGATTACTAACAGAGTCTATGCTTTGGACCATCTGCTACCAGTGCTTCTTTCACTGTGCCATGCTCTTTCTCTCATAGACTGTTATATTGTCCAAAATTCACTACCACTAGATAGCTATGTGAAATGTTGCATCTTTGAAATTGCTCTGTCAACTCTGGGAAGGAATTGGGGGTATGATCTCAAAATCTAGTTTAAGAAGTGTTGGAATGATTTATCAAGATATCTGGGTTTTAGCACTGTGGCTTTTATTAATTTTAACAAATATATAGATATAGACATATAGCTGTATCAACTTTACACATGTAATATATTTACTTTTCTAGAATAACAAATTATCTTTGCTAATAAGCTGACAAATGTAGTTGAAATATTTTTTTTTACTCCAGTCTGTTGCTTACTCCCTCAAGGTAATGAATAGGAATAAATGCAGTTTTCTAGTTCCTGGTTGTTAGTTCTCTGTATTTTAGAACTACTTATAAAATTGCATTTCAAAAATCAGGAATAAATCATGTTTTTCCTTTTTATTTTAAATAATGCTTCTATAATTTAGAATGTAATAACGATTTGTAAAGTGTAGGTGATTAATAGCTTTTGGGGTAATTCATATTAATTTGACATTTGATTATTTACATGTAGCATTTATAGTTATATAACTATTGGTTAGTTATATTTATGGTTATATAATTATTGGTTAGTCACACTAATTGGTTAAATAGAACTACCCACCTTATAATTATTCCAGTTCAGTGGGAATTAATTAGAAAACAATACTAATATGTATTACAGAAGCTTAATTCTTAAAGCATTTTTGTGAAGCAGAAGATAGGAACTTATTAATAGGAAGATATTAAATTATTCTACCTTAATAAATGTAGACTGCAAATTGGAAAAGGAAGTTAAATGAAGAAAAGTAAGTTGTTTAAAATTCCATAACACTTTGCCCGTGTAAAATAGTTAGGGGTATAACTCCACGTTTTCCAAGGACGGTCTTTATTATCCATGTTAAATGTAGGGTTTTTTGTGTGAAACTGCATAATGACCAAAACATTTTCACTCGGTTTTGAATAGAATTGTTGGGTATTTGTATGTGAAATTATCTTCTTATAAAAGCAGGTCATTTTCCTAAATTTATGCTGAAATAATTGACTCGATATTCCCTAAGCTAGGTATGTGTGTGAAGTGGCCCAAAAATATGCTTTGGGGAGAAATCAGAGGCAGTGTAGAGAAATTAAAAGAGTCTTGGCTTTGATGCTAGACAGATTGGGTTTCAATTCCAGCTCTGCCACTTCCTAGCTGTGTAACTTTGGTGAAGTCGCTTAATATTTTTGAGCCTGCCATGTTTTCACCATTTGTTAAATGTGGGATATTGAAGTTGGTTTCGATGGATTTTCTTCTTATAAATCCCATTTCATTAACAATTCCCCCCTGCACCTCCATTTTAGGACCTGAAATCTGCCTCACATGAATTAAAAAGTGAATAATTGAATTAATTATAAATAAGCATCACACTGGGTTGAATGTAACTCATTGATCAAAATGTCAGTTAACACTTTCATTCTATTGTTAATAGTGACAGATTTTTCTAAAAAAATTTTAATTATCATGTAACTTTATCTTTTTCAGGTGAAAAATGTTTATTTCAAAAATTTTATACCTTTTATGAATTCTCTTGGAATTGTAGCTTCTAACGGACTTCCAGAGGTAATCTGAAAGAAAACGTAATAAAAAATTAATGTGTTTCGGGACTTTAGCAAGGGAGGAATAGTTGCCTAAATTTCTTAAGATCACTTTACTGTATATTAAATGTTTTTTACTCAAGGAAAGAATCTAAGTAGAATTGTGGTGAATCAACTTTATATAGTAAGAAAAAACCCCTTTTGAACCCATTTATGCTCAAATGTATAAATAAGCAGCATTTAAAAGTTTGCACTAGAAATTGGTTTGTACTAAAATTTTTCAAAAATCAGAATGTAGGCTTTTGAACTTCTAAATGCCATTAAATATTTAAATAGAAGTAAATATCTGTAATCAAATTTGATTCTAATTTACTTTGCTGCGCTTCTTTAAGCATAGGAGCCATGATTTGTGCCATCAACATTATTAGCATTACTGTACTTGGAGCAACTCTTTTGAGGCTTTTTTTTTTTGGCCACAGCGCGTGGCTTGCAGGATCTTAGTTCCTCCACCAGGATGGAGCCCAGGCCCCGGCAGTGAAAGCCAAGTCCTAACCACTGCACTGCCATGGAATTCACTCTTTGGAGTATTTTGAAAAAGCTGCTTAATTGGATGTAGCTTTGGTTGAAATGACTGTGATTATACGGTAGAAATGTTTTACCTTAGTGGTGTGCCATCCATCCATCTGTTGCTTTTCACATTTTTCCTCATATGTCTTGCTCTTCAGTGAGAACAGAACAACTGAGAACTTTGTGTGGTAATGTGTGGAGAAAAGAATGCTTAAATAAATGATGAAGAACAAGTACTCAGTGAGGAAGCAGCGTTTCAAACACACCTATTATCAGTCACCAAGACCGAAAGACATGAAATCAGAGAGCTAGATTGCTGATTTTATGGCCTGAGTTGGTAGCTAGTCCTCCTTGAATTAACTAACTTACTCATTCAGCAGTTATTTAGTGAGTGCTTAATATATGCCAGGCATTGTGCTGGATATCATCAATGCAGAGATTTAACTCACAGTCATTGTCATTAAGGTGCTAGTGGAAGAGACGGGCATAGAAGTAGAACATTAACAGGAGTCTACAAAAGTCTAATAGATGTGTACACAGGGTGTTGTGATATCTCAGAGGAGGACTCCCTAATCCAAAGTGGGCCAGATAGGTTTTGCGGAAAATTCTTTGGAGGTGATGTGGTTTCTGAGCTGAGTAAGATTTTTGAGAAGTGGCATTTCCAGGGGTTGGAAATTATAGATTTAAAGGCACAGTGATATGTGATAGTATGGTCTGTTCTGTAGAGTGAGTGGTAAGACATGGTACTAAAGAAACAAGAAGGGGCCAAAAGTTGTATTTCTGAGTTCTATTACCAACTTATATACCAAAAAATATGCTGTTTACAACTCTAAAGAATCTTGGACATTCATAATTTTTTTTCCCTCTGAAAGGATTACAGGGTTATTATTAGAAAATTCAACATAAACTTTACATTATATAGCACTAATAGCTGCCAGTCAATAAATGATTGATAATTAATACCTAACTGACATAGGGCAGGAATGACGATTAAGCCTTAATCAAACATGAATGGCTGATCGGCCTAAAAAACTTATGCAAACAAACAAAAAGTTTACATTTAACTGGATTTTTTCCTACCACTCCTTTTAGAATGCAATTTTAACTCTCTCAGGTTGGAAACACTCTGGCTTTAAAAGTCACAGGAGGGCTTCCCTGGTGGCGCAGTGGTTGAGAGTCCGCCTGCCGATGCAGGGGACACGGGTTCGTGCCCCGGTCTGGGAAGATCCCAGATGCTGCGGAGCAGCTGGGTCCGTGAGCCATGGCCGCTGAGCCTGCGCGTCCGGAGCCTGTGCTCTGCAACGGGAGAGGCCCCAACAGTGAGAGGCCCGTGTACCACACACACACACACACACAAAAGTCACAGGAGAAGGCTGCTAAATGGTTTTCTACTGGGCACTGGTTTTTATATTATGATTAGAATATTATGAATCAGAACTGATAAAAGAATTATAGTTTGTAGCATTTGGAAAAGTGCTAAGATTGGAAATAAATTGTGCAAGTATGTTAATTGGGCTAATTAATTGAGCTTATACTCTTGCCCAAGATACGTAACTGAAGGGAGTCAGAGTGAACCAAAGGATTTAGAAAAGATAGGAAGAATACATAATAAAGGTCTGTTACAGTGTTTGAAAAATTATTTTATATTGATAAGTGTAGTAGAAGATTAAAAGTGAGTGATGTATAGGATGGAGGATCTCGGCAATTAAGTGGTTATAATAATGTCTTTTCATCTTACAGTTCCATTTCAGTACTGTTCTGTAGCATTGGTGATCCTTGTCTAGATAAAATGTGAGATATGTGCATAAAATAGGTTTAAAATTGAGTTGAAAAAAATCTGCAGTTTTCTTTACTTCACTTTTAGATATGCCTTATTTATATTCCATGTGAAGTCTGTATAGTGTAAAATTAAGTGTATATTTTTATGAAGATTCTTTAATTAAATCTGTATTTCTGTGTACTGAGAAGTAATGACATGAAAAGGATAATCATCAATATTTTTTGCCTTTGAGGTGGAAAGTCTCTCTAAACAATATGAAGAAATTTACCTTAAAAACAAAGATATAGATGCAAGATTATTTCTGGATCATGATAAAACTCTTCAGGCTGATCCTACAGACAGGTATTATACATGATATATTATTATTTGTTGATATGCTGGTTCATTTTTTAAAAAGTTAGTATAAAATTGTATTCTCTTGAATTGTCATATAGAATCCTAAAGTAGGAATGGTTGACGGTAACTACAGGCACCTGTGAGATATTGTGTTTTCCGTTCCAGGCCATTTCAATAAAGCAAATCACGCAAACTTTTTGGTTTCCGAGTGCATGTAAAAGTTATGTTTACAATGTACTATAGTCTGTTAAGTGTGCAATAGCATTATATCCAAAAAACAGTGTGCGTACCTTAATTTAGAAATACCTTATTTCTAAAAAATGATAACCATCATATGACAATGCAGAGTTTACAAACCTTCAATATGTAATAAAACACAGTATCTGTGAAGCACAGTAAAGCAAAGTGCAATAAAATGAGATACGCCTGTAAAAAATTTTTGAATGATTGTAAGTGTGGTTAATTTTAAGTCTTCAGCATGAAATCTTTTAATATTAACTAAAAAAATATGTATATATATAAAATTTGGAAGTTAAACACAAATAAAATGTTTCAGATTTTAAGTCAAAGTAAGTTTTTGGAAGGCGTAATGTTTGAAAAACTTGAGTTTTATTTTTTGATACTGAACAACCTTGCTAGTAATATCATCAACATCTAACATTCTAGAGAAAACAAACATCTAACTTTCACTTTCAAAAAAATTCTTAGTGATTGGTACACCGTTTGTTGTAAACCTAGTGGAAAGAAACCCAACTTAAAAATTATGATAAAAAAAATTTTATTTATTTAAGCAGCTTCTGGATCATCTATTTCCTATCACTTCTATTATTTACTTAACCATTTTGTATGATGTTATGAGTCAACAGAAGGTACTTTACTGCTTTTTTGACTCATAAATCACAAATTGTAAGTTTTCAGTCTGAATGACTTTGTTTATCATTATTTAGTTTTGAAATGCAGAGAACACCACGAAAAAGTAACCCTGATGAAGAGGTAAATGTGATTCTTCCACAGACTCCAGTTCGGTATGAATTTTCTTACTTTTGATTTTCATTATAATTATTTATTCAGTACTTTATAGTGCTTCGGGTTTATTCATTTGTTTCATTATATATTTGTATATACATGCAGCAAATATATATTGAGTGCTCTTTGTATGCCAGACATGTTACTAGTTGCTGAGGATATGATTATTAGACGTAGTTCTGTCTGTCCTTAAGGTATATAACCCAGAATGAGAATGTGTTCCATTTCAGTATATAAAAAAGAGAAAAAAAAGTATCACCATTTGCTCTGTATATAACCTAGAAAGATTGGAGCCATTTTTTAGTGTCCTTTTCCTCACTTGCTTCCCACATCTAATCTGTTTTCAAGTCTTGCTGAGTCTGCCTCCTAAGTATTTGAGTTCATCTACTGTTCCCCATTCCTACTCTTCCCACCCTTGTCCAAGATATCTCTCTCCTTCTCTTGGAATTTTTGCAGTAGCCTACTAACTGATCTTGCTGTTTCTACTCTCATGACTATTCCTCTCTCCCTATCACCAAATATATTCTCCAGAGAGCCCCCAGAATAATATTCTAGAAATGTAAATCAGATCATGCTTTTTTTTTGGCTGCAATGCGTGGCTTGCAGGATCTTAGTTCCTCCACCAGGATGGAGCCCAGGCCCTGGCAGTGAAAGCCAGGTCCTAACCACTGCACTGCCATGGAATTCACTCTTTGGAGTATTTTGAAAAAGCTACTTAATTGGATGTAGCTTTGGTTGAAATGACTGTGATTATATGGTAGAAATGTTTTACCTTAGTGGTGTGCCATCCATCCATCTGTTGCTTTTCACATTTTTCCTCATATGTCTTGCTCTTCAGTGAGAACAGAACAACTGAGAACTTTATGTGGTAATGTGTGGAGAAAAGAATGCTTAAATAAATGATGAAGAACAAGTACTCAGTGAGGAAGCAGCATTTCAGACACACCTAGTATCAGTCACCAAGACCAAAAGACATGAAATCAGAGAGCTAGATTGCTGTTAAGTTTGTGATTGCTTCCTACTGCAATTGAAATACAGTGCAAATCCCTTAACAGTGCCTACAAGACCTTATATGATCTAGCTTCTGTTACCTCTCCAACCTCATCTTGTTTTCCTGCTCATTATGTACTAGCCAGTTTTCTGAACTCTCCAAAATCTTCTTTTGTACTCAGTGACCTTCATATTTGCTTTTGTTTCTTCTGTTTTGTTTTTGTTTGTTTTTTTTTTGCGGTACACGGGCCTCTCACTGTTGTGGCCTCTTCCGTCGCGGAGCACAGGCTCTGGACGCGCAGGCTCAGCAGCCATGGCTCACGGGCCCAGCTGCTCCGTGGCATGTGGGATCTTCCCGGACCGGGGCATGAACCCGTGTCCCCTGCATCGGCAGGCGGACTCTCAACCACTGCGCCGCCAGGGAAGCCCCACTTTTGTTTCTTCTGGAAACTCTTCCTTCTTTTCTATGAATTGCCAACTACTACCCTTCTTTTAGGTTCAGCACAAATACTACTTTTTTGAGGACTTATTTCTCTCTGAAGTATTTTCCTTTATTATTCTTTCTCACAGCATCCTGTTCTATTCCTTCAAAGTATGTATCACAATTTGTAATTATAAATTCATCTGTGTGTTTGCTTGTTTTTGTCAATACCCACAATAGTCTTTAAGTCCATACCACATGGACCATGACTTTCTTGTTCACCATTTAATCATTAGGAGCTAGGAGAATACTTGGTACATAGTAAAACAATCAGTAATCTTTTCAAATGACTACATAGATACATAAAAATACATTTTTGTTTAAATATGGTAAGAGACATAGGACAAGTTAATGAGATGGCACAGAAGGGACTTTATGAAGTGATATTTGAACTGAATTTTGAAACATGTAAGTTTGTGTCACAGGAGACTGACAGCATGTGCAAAGGCATGGAAGTATGAAACAACATGATGCATCTGGGGAACTATAAGCAGCTCTGTATTGATGGACTAAATGGGAAGATGAAATGGCAGGAGAGGAGGGTGGGTATTAGATCATGAAAGGCCTTATATTCCATACTCAGAAGTTTGGGCTTTAACTTGTGCAGGATATGGCCTGTTGCTATACCTGGGTGTTAAGCAGGGCTAGGATAAAATCAGACTTGATTTGTGAAAGTTTACATGGTAGTAGTTTGTGAAAAGATGGACTGAGGAGGGCGTGGTGAGAAATAGAGAGACCTGTCAGTCTGTCACAGTGGTTAGGCAAATTAGGATAACCTGAGGAGTTTTTTTTTGTTTTTCAAAGTACATATGCCTAGACCCTGCTGCCATAGACATAGTCAGAATCTCAAAATGCTCTATTGCAGTAATCCAGTTGAGAGATGCTGAAGATATGAACCAAGAGGTAGGCAGTTGGAGTGAAAGAGCAAGAACAGGTTTGATAAACAGTTGATGAATTCATATTTAGAATATTATTCTTAAGGCATTTATGGGATATGAAGAAGATAATGTAGTAAGTAGTAGGATATAACGATCTTATAGATTTGGGAATCATCAGGGAGAGTTAAATCAGAAAAATAGGGTCGGGGGGGGTGGTGTGATGAATTGGGAGATTGGGATTGACATGTATACACATACACTGATGTGTATAAAATGGGTGACTAATAAGAACCTGCAGTATAAAAAAATAAATAAAATTCAAAAAAAACCAAACAGAATGAGGTTGCCTGAAATGAGGGTGCATAATAGCAATAACGGTTGGCTAAAGGCCGAACCCTAAAGAATGCTAGCATTTAAGGATGAGATAGAAGTTAGATTAAAGAGAATGAGAGGTGTGATTGGGGAGGCCAGAGAATGAAGCCAAAGAAGCCAAGGGAGGAAGGGAGTTTCAGAAGAGAGCAAGTGTTTAAGAGTGTCAAATACCTCAAGAAAATCAAGTATCAGAACAAATAAAAAAGATATTTTGGTTTTAGCAGTTGGTCACTTATGGCTTTAGTCATTGTGGCTTAAGTAGATTAGTACATGTACACGTCACAGAAGCAATATATTTAAAAGTTGAGGAAGTGTAGATATCAGTATAGAGAGGCTTGACTGAGAACACTGAACATGTTTTATTAAATAATATTTAAAGACCCTTTTGGCTATAAACATTCTACAGTTTTTTGCATCATTAAACAGTGCCTACAGAGTAGCAATGAACTGCTACTCCAAAATTGGAACATTAATATTTACCATATACCATACACAGACACGTGTGTGCGCACACACACACACACACACACACACACACAATTATATAATTAAAGAGATCTCAAAGAGATTGACCTACTTTTATGTTTTAGTGATGATGACTTCTAAAATTATGTATCTTTTCATCTTGAAGGTCTCTGTAAAGGACAGTCACTTGGTTCTCTACTTGAGTTACTAAATATCTTACTGTCTTTATTTGAAAATTTTTAATATTTATTTGTAATAATGTTTTCTTAAAATATTACCATTTTGATGCCAGTTTATGTTTTATCCTTAAAATAATGTCATTACTTTTTCATCAATTGTTTTGTTGATATTTAGTTCTATTAGTAAATAAGCATATCAGTTCTTTAATTATAAACTTACTGATGATCGACATATGCTTTCTTAAAGATTTAAGTCAAATGTAATTCCTCATAAACAGCAGTACACTAAGGCTTTTATAAAGTCTTATTTCAGAGAACTTCTTAAAGATAAACAGGAGACAATGAGATTGAAGATATGTGTAACTTATGAAATAGATACTTATCATTTTTTCTTTTTATTCCTTCATTGCTTAACACTTCTTCCTATTTTTTTCTAGGACTGTCATGAATACTATCCAGCAATTAATGATGATCTTAAATTCAGCAAGTGATCAACCGTCAGAAAATCTGATTTCCTATTTTAATGTAAGCCATATATGAAACATTATTTATTATGATATTTTGGCAAATAAATTTGAAATTAGAAGTTAAAATACTGAGTGTTTTTTTAAACACCCATTTCCCAACCAAGTTGTCTATTATCTCATTTCTTGCTTTTTTTTTTTTAATTTTTTTTTTTGGCTGTGTTGGGTCCTTGTTGCTGCACGCGGGCTTTCCTCTGGTTGTGGCGAGCGGGGGCTACTCTTTGTTGCGGTGCGTGGGCTTCTCATTGCAGTGGCTTCTCTTGTTGCAGAGCACGGGCTCTAGGCGTGCGGGCTTCAGTAGTTGTGGCACGCGGGCTCAGTAGTCGTGGCTCGTGGGCTCTAGAGCGCAGGCTCAGTAGTTGTGGCACACGGGCTTCGTTGCTCCGTGGCGTGTGGGATCTTCCCAGACCAGGGCTCGAACCCGTGTCCCCTGCCTTGGCAGGCGGATTCTTAACCACTGCACCACCAGGGAAGCCCTCTTGCTTTTTTTAACTCTCCAAATTAGATATTATTAGTAGTATCATTTTATTTAGACAGTGTTGTTTTTAGATTTTCTCATATTTACTTTTTGTGTTGCTCACCATTCTTTTTTATAACTTAGACCTCACTTTCATAATTATTTTCTTCTTTCTTCAGATACATCTTCTAATCATTCCTTTAGTGGGGGTTAGTTTGGGATGAACTTACAAGCTTTTTGTTTTGTTTTTTGTCTTAAAATATCTTTACTCTTGGACTTCCTTGGTGGTCCAGTGATAAAGACTCTACTCTCCCAATGCGGGGGCCCGGGTTCGATCCCTGATCAGGGAACTAAGATCTCACATGCCACAACTAAGACCTGGCACAGCCAAATAAATAAATAAATAAATTACATACATATATACATACATAAATATTTTTTTAAAATATCTTCACTCTTATTTTTTGTAAGGTAGTTTACCTGGATCTTCAATTCTAGGCTGACCTTTACTTTCTCTTAGTAGTTTGAAGATATTACTTCACTATTTCCTGGCTCTCATTGCTACTAAGATGTTTTCTGTCAGTCCATCTGTTGTTCCTTTATAGTTTATCTTTTCTCTCTGGCTCTTTTAAGATATTTTCTTTGAATGTGACATTAGACAGGATTTAACATTTGCCATATCTCTACGGTCTTTTTTATTTAGCCCACTTTCATTTACATTTCTTGAGTGGCCCTGTGTGCATTGCAGTTGGCAACTCCTGATGGACCCTGAGTTTGATATCTGAAGGACCCCTGCTAGCCTCCCTCCCCTCAAAAAAGGGAGAGAGGAAGAGAGAGAATGAAAACTAGTGTCTATATTCCTTGTTTGCTCTTTTACTCCTTTAAAATCAAGTGAGGCTTGGGAGCCACTGAAATGCTCATCTGTGGCAGTTGGATGAGGCTAGGAGACTTACTAAAATTTGGCTTATCCGGTAAGTGCTTTGTGTGGTTAACATTCCATTTAATATCATAAGCTGCCTGTGGTTTTGTCATATTCTTTGTTGTCTTGTTTATATTTCCACCCCCCCCAAGAATTAACAGAGTATTCTCTGTCATCATATTCATAATTGTGTTGGCTCAAAACTTATTTTGTTTGTCCAGTTTGCATAAAGTTGCTTTTATTTGTGGGTTATCTGTAGCACAAGAATATTTCCCAAACATAGCTACCCAGTTACTTAGAACTTTTAGAAGGGATAATGGTAGAAGTAAAAAGAATGATAATCTCTCTCTTCTTAAATATTGTTTTCAATATTTCCTCCAACATTTGGAGTATGTAGGAAGTCTTTTTTATTTTAAACTACTTCAGTTGGGTAGAAAATTCTGCCTCAAAGACATTTTCCGGAGCTCAGTTTAAAGCTTAACATTAAATGAAGCGCAACAGTTTAACTGCAGAGTTTTATGTACACTACAAATGGCCTATCTCAGAGTGGGCATATCTTGAAGACCATTAAGTTTTTCTTTGAATTTGCTTCTTTATTAGTTCAGGTGTCTTCATTTTAAAAATTAATGGCATCTTTTCTTCTGTGTGTAAGTAAAATCTTAGAAGCTATAGACATTTTTTTCTTCCAGTTTTATTGAGATATGCTTGATGTACAGCTCTGTATAAGTTTAAGGTATACAGCATAATGGGTTGACCTACATACATCATGAAATTAGCATCACAATAAGTTGATTGAACATCCATTATCTCATTTGGATACAAAGTAAAAGAAATAGAAAAAAAATTTTTTTCTTTGTGAAGAGAACCCTCAGGATTTACTCCCAACAACTTTCATGTATAACATACAGCAGTGTTAATTATATTAATCATGTTGTACATTACATCCCTAGTACTTATTTACCTTATAAATGGAAGTTTGTACCTTTTGACTGCCTTCATTCAGTTCCCCCTTCCCCTACCCACCCCCCGCCTCTAGTAACTACAAATCTGATCTTTTTTCTATGAGTTTTTTTCTTTTTGAAGTATAATTGACCTACAACACTGGGTTAGTTTCTGGTGCACAGTATAGTGATTCGATATTTCTGTACATCTCAAAATGATCACCACGGTAAGTCTAGTTACCATTTGTCTCTGTACAGAGATATTATATAATTATTGACTGTATTCCCTACACTGTACATTTCATACCTGTGACTCATTTATTTTGTAACTAGAAGTTGGTACCCCTTAATCTCCCTCATCTGTTTCTCTCTTTCCCCACATCCCTCGCTTCTGGCAACCATCTGTTTGTTCTCTATCTCTATAACTCTGTTTCTATTTTGTTGTGTTTGTTCATTTGTTTTTTTTTTTTAGATTTCACATATAAGTGAAATCATACAGTATTTGCTTTCTTTGTCTGATCTACTTCACTTAGCATAATACTCTCTAGGTCCATTCTTGTTGTTGTCACAAATGGCAAAATTTGTTTTTTCTTTATGGCCAAATAATATTCCATTGTATATATATACCACATCTTTATCTATTCATCTATCAATGGGCACCTAGGTTGTTTCTATTCTCGGCTATTGTAAATAATGCTACAATGAACATAGGGGTGCATATCTTTTCAAATTAAGTGTTTTCATTTTCTTCAGATAAATACCCAAAAGTGGAATTGCTGGATTGTATGGTAGTTCTGGTTTTAACTTTTTGATGAGCCTCCAAACTGTTTTCCACAGTGGCTGCACCAATTTACATTCCCACCAACAGCGCATGAGGGTTCCCTTTTCTCCATACCCTCGCCAACACTTGTTATTTGTTCTCTTTTTGATAATAGCCGTTAGACAGACGTGAGGTGATATCTCATAATGGTTTTGATTTGCATTTCTCTGATGATTAGTGATGTTGAGCATCTCATGTGACTGCTAGCCATCTGTATGTCTTCTTTGGAAAGATGTGTATTCATTTCTTGTGCCCATTTTTTTAATCAGCTAGTTTGCTTTTTGGTGTTGAGTTGTATGCGTTCTTTGTATGTTTGGATATTAACCCTTTATCAGATATATCGTTTGCAAATATCTTCTCCCATCCAGTAGGTGGCCTTTTCTTTTTGTTGATAGTTTCCTTCACTGTGCAGAAACATTTTGGTTTGAAATAGTCCCACTTGTGTATTTTGCTTTTGCTGCCTTTTCTTCCAGAGTCAATTCCAAAATACCATCTCCAAGACTAATGACAAGGAGCTTACCACCCATGTTTTCTTCTAAGAGTTTCATGGTTTCAGGTCTTATGTTCAAGACTTTAATCCATTTTGAGTTAATTTTCGTGTGTGGTGTAAGACAGTGGTATAATTTCATTTTTTTGAAACTGGCTTTCCAGTTTTACCAACACATTTATTGAAGAGACTGTCCTTTTCTCACTGTATATTCTTGGCTCTTTTGTGGTAAATTAATTGATCATATGCATGGGTTTATTTTTGGACTCTCTGTTCTGTTCCATTGATCTCTGTTTTTTTGTTTTTGTTTTTGTTTTTGTTTTGCGGTACACGGGCCTCTCACTGTTGTGGCCTCTCCCGTTGTGGAGCACAGGCTCTGGATGCGCAGGCTCAGCTGCCATGGCTCACGGGCCCAGCCGCTCCGCGGCACGTGGGATCCTCCCGGACTGGGGCACAAACCCGCGTCCCCTGCATCAGCAGGCGGACTCTCAACCACTGTGCCACCAGGGAGGCCCTGATCTCTGTTTTTATATCAATAACAAACTGTTTTGATTACTGTAGCTTTATAATATAGTTTGATGCCTCCAGCTTTGTTCTTCTTTCTCAGGATTGCTTTGGCTATTTGGGGTCTTTTGTGGTTCTGCACAGTTTTGAATTGTTTGTTCTATTTCTGTGTAAATACCTTGGAATTTTGACAAGAAGTTTATTGAATTTGTATATTGCTTTGGGTAGTATGGGCATTTTAACAATATTAATTCTTCCACTCCATGAGCATGCAGTAGCTTTGCATTTACGTGTGTCTTTTAACGTTTCTTTCATTAGGGTCTTAAGTTTTCATTGTACAGATCTTTCACCTTCTTGGTTAAATTTATTCTGGATACAACTGTACATGTGATTGCTTTCTTAATTTCTCTTTCTGATAGTGTGTTATTAGTGTATAGAAATACAACTGATTTCTGTATGTTGATTTTGTATCCTGCAACTTTACTGATTTTTTTTATTAGTTCTAACAGGTTTTTTGTGGAGTCTTTAAGATTTTGTATATATAATATCATGTCATATGAAAATAATGACAGTTTTACCTCCTTTCCAATTTGGATGCCTTTTATTTCTTTTTCTTGCCTAACTGCTCTAAGACTTCTAATACTATGGAATAAAAGTGGCAAGAGTGGGCATCCTTGTGTTGTTCTTGACCTTAGAGGAAAAGTTTTCAGCTTTTCACTGTTGAGTATAATGTTAGCTGTGGGCTTGTCATGTATGGCCTTTATTATGTTGAGGTACATTCCCTCCATACTCACTTTGTTAAGAGTTTTTATCATAAATCGATGTTGAATTTTGTCCAATGCTTTTTCTGCATCTGTTGAGATGATCACATAATTTTAATCTTTTATTTTGTTAATATGGCATATCTTTGATTGATTTGCAGATATGGAACCATCACTGGGATAAATCCCACTTGATCATGGTATAAGATCCTTTCAAGAATATTAATGTATTCTTGAATCGGGTTTGCTGATATTTTGTTAAGGATTTTTGCATTTGTATTCAGGAGGGATATTGGCCTATAATTTACTTTCCTTGTGGTGTCCTTGTTTTGGTATCAGGACAGTGCTGGCCTCATAAAATGAGTTTGGGAGTGTTTCCTCATCTTCTGTTTTTTTGGAATAGTTTGAGAAGGATTTGCAGTAATTCTTCTTTGAATGTTTGATAGAATTCACCAGTGAAACCATCTGGTTCTGGACTTCTATTTATTGGGAGGTTTTTGGTTACCTATTCTTTCTTCTTACTAGTAATTAGTCTTTTCAGATTTTCTATTCCTTATGATTCAACCTTAGAAGGTTGTATGTTTCTAGGAATTTATCCATTTGTTCAAGGTTGTCTAGTTTGTTGGCATTCAGTTGTTCATAGTAGTCTCTTATGATCATTTGTATTCCTGTGGTATCAATTGTAATATCTGTGAGGCTGTTTTTGATGGATAATGGAAAGGGCTAACAAATCTGTTCTTCCCTAACTTGCCAGCAGAAAATTTAGATAATAGAGTTTTTTAGTTGTACTCTAGTATTTTTGGTCACTATTATCCCAGAATGGAATCCTTTATGTTCCTCATATTTTCAGTAGTTGTATTTACCTAGTTTATTGTGGAAGTGTTTCCACAGTATAAACAATTGAGAGTGATAAGTCATGTAGTATAGAACAGAAAATGTTAATTCTCTGATTAAACAGTATCCTTAATGTTAATTCGTGTTTTTCCTTCTTAAAGAATTGCACAGTGAATCCAAAGGAAAGTATCCTGAAAAGAGTGAAGGATATTGGGTACATCTTTAAAGAGAAATTTGCTAAAGCTGTGGGACAGGGATGTATGGAAATTGGATCACAGGTAACTTGAGTTCATTTTGATTAGTGCCACTATATAGTAAATAATTTCAAATGCAACATCTGTCCCAGTTGTATAAATGCTGTAATAGTATCTGTCCAATAGTATAAAATATTGGAAGATACCATATCCCAGCTGCTTGTGTATGCTGCTGTTTATGGAAAGCTTTATGGGACAGCTCCTCTCACTCCATTACAGAAACCAAAAGTAAACATGCAGAAAATTTTAGAAGAATTGTTGAAAATTTAAAAAATACAGTAAGAAAAAAATCAAAATCTTGCTAACATTAAGTTTTTGGTGTATATTCTTTAACTTTTACATATATGAATATTCATGTGTGTATATACTTATACAAATGGAATCATATTATACATGCCATTTATCAGTGATATTATTAAATGATGTTGTTTTTACTATTACTATTATTATTTCAGAAAATCTAAAACTAATATATGGTAAGCCAGTGGGCTCTGGATCAGAGCCCTGGGTTTATATCTGGTTCTATCATATATGAGCTGTCATCTAACTTCTCTGAGATTCAGGTTTCTATATTTGCTCTGCTTTTCTCTGTGGCATTAATGAGGTAATATATAAAATATATTTGAAAACTGTAATCTACTATACACATTTATTTCGGTGTAGTGAGGTTATATTTTGATTCCATCTGTGTTTTAAACCATTATATTTAAAAGTTCTTTTTGGTTATATATGAAATTTGTACTCATAATTTGGAATGAAGGATTTTGGTGTGTGTTTGTGTGTGTGTGTGTGTGTGTGTGTGTTTATCTAAAATTTGACTGTTCTTTGGACTAATGAAAACTAGTTGTTTGATAACTTTTTGCTTATAAGATCAGGTAGGTCTGATTTTTGCCTTGACCAGTTTTATGGAAAGAGACTATTATGTTAATCCTGGAGAGCTATCTTGAAAATGTGTGTTCTAGGTCACAAGAAGTATTACATTAGTATGTAAAATGGTTAAAATAGTACCAGGTACATAATATATTCTTAGTACACATATATCTGTTGAATGATGTAGACTGAAGTGGAATGATAGAAAACCAACTACTGGACCCCTCCTCTTGAAAATTTATCAGGAATGTTAAAACCATCATTTTATACCTAAATCTTGAGTTTTAGACAAGCAAGCTTTTGTGATCTCTTGGTAGCCATATTCCTAAGAAGGGTCAGGAATGTGTCTCAAGAGAAAACTTTTAAAAAATCAGGAATTGTTATGGTTTTCTAAACTAGTGGGATCTAATTTTTTTTCTTTCTTTGTAGCGATACAAACTTGGAGTCCGATTGTATTACCGAGTAATGGAATCCATGCTTAAATCAGTAAGTTTAAAAGAATATAATAGAAAAAAAATTTAATGCTGACACAAAGAAGGCTTCAGTTAATTTTTTTTAATCTGTTTTAGGAAGAAGAACGATTATCCATTCAAAATTTTAGGTAAATTTTTGTTTTAGTAAAACAATTTCTTCTTTTTTTAAAAGTAAATGTTACAAAATCATTCTTTTTTTTCCTTTAGCAAACTCCTGAATGACAACATCTTTCATATGTCTTTGTTGGCATGTGCTCTTGAGGTTGTAATGGCTACCTATAGCAGTAAGTTAAATTTTAGTAAATAAACATTTTAGTTCAATTTAAAGTTAAAAAAAACTACTTACCTAATGTGTGGTATGGGTTTTTGTGGTGGGCGGAATGGAGAAGTTAAGGAGTTAAGGAGAAGAAATGCATATTTTAGATCAGTATATCCTGAAGAATGTAATTGGTCACCGTAATGTGGTCACCATAAAGTGGTTTATTAACCTGAATTATTTCATGTCATCTTGGGAATAGTTTCACTAGACTCCTATTCTGGACTATCCTGAATCCAGGAAATGTACCTATTGAAACCCCTTCAAAGACTTATGAGACTGTAAAATGCCTGAGGAGTACTACTGAGCAGATTCCACTGATATGGAAGCACTGCTACATATATATTCTGTGGTTATGAGACAAAAGGTTGGAGCTAGAATCCACCAGATAAACAGAACAGAGGTCATCAATAGTGTTTTTTTTTTTAATATAATTTTAAACACGTATTATTTTGCAAATAATGTTGCAAATGTCCAAAAAAAGTTTTGTTTGCAAAAAACAACAGAAGAAAATTTATCTAAGGATACAAATATATAATAAAAGAGGAACTTAAATTAGTAAACAAATATGGACAACTGTGAATCCTCATTTATAACCAAGAAATGCATAATTAAAACATATTTACTAACCAATCAAATTGTCAAAATCTTAAAGAATCACTTCCTCTCTTAATCGAGGATTAATGAGACAGTTAAAATGGATATGCTAATGCATTGCTGGTTAGATGTTAAACGTGTCCCGGATACAAGTTTAGGGTGTTTAAACCTTTGAAAATTTGATATAAGCTGTGAGCCTTCTATCCAGGAAAGACATATATATGCACATACACTCAAACTTTGGAAGCCTATTTCCTAGGAGTCTGTGGACCCCAGAATAAGAAATTATGTTCTAAATAAAAATTTTTGTTTAGCCTTTCTACTGTGTTTTAATTTTTTGTTTGATAAAACCTTCAGACCAAAAAATATGTCATTCAAGGCTTAACATTTCATACCTAAGTTACGTTTTTCTTTCATTTTTAGGAAGTACATCTCAGAATCTGGATACTGGAACAGATTTGTCCTTCCCTTGGATTCTGAATGTACTTAATTTAAAAGCTTTTGATTTTTACAAAGTGATTGAAAGTTTTATCAAAGCAGAAGCCAACTTGACCAGAGAAATGATTAAACATTTAGAACGATGTGAACATCGAATCATGGAATCCCTTGCATGGCTCTCAGTAAGTAACTAGCTAAAATAGTTAAAGATACTCATATGCATATGGATAACAGTTATCTGTTAGTGAGAGGTATTTGTTAACATTTACCTCAAGAACAAATATGAAATTTTTTTTTTTTTTTACAAATATGAAATTTAATGAATAATGTTGTTTCAGTGTATAGCCCAAGAAGCAAGTGGAATATTAGAATGGAGTTTTCTTTGAGCTCCTCAGACTGTCTGATACAGGGATTTATTTATGAATAGCTTTTCTTAAAGCTTGGCACTTCAAAACAAAGCAGAATTCTTTAACGTATTTGGGAACTTTATTTAAAATAGAGGTGTCATGTATGAAAATTTAAATGTCTACTCTTAAAATTTCAACAAAATGATGAAAAAATTGAGATTATGCTATTGATATGATTTAAAAATACAGATTTTTAGTTCAATTTTATCTGATTTTTTTTGTCCCATTGTTAAAGGTAATCCAAAAATCTACACAATTATAGTTATTGTTTATAGCATTATAAGGGCACAAAGCATATTCTCTAGGTAGTCTATTTATAGCATATAACCTATTGATAAGGCTTTATTTTAGTAAAGGTGACATTTCCTATGTAGTAATAGTAAAATATTTATATGGAGTTCTTCTGTTATGCTCTTTAAATCTTCATAGTTGGGTAATACTTTGTTAAGCATCAGGTTTTTAGATTAATATAGAGTTGGTTTCTTCTGAAATTGTTGCATATGCTAAGCATATATCTTTTCATTTTTATCAGTATATAGAAATGGCAATAGAAAAATTAAGACTTTAGTTATATTAGAATCCTAATCTGTACATGTAAACCAAGTTTTACTTTTTTGATATTTTAAAAATGTAATGTCTAAGAGTAACTTGTTTCTTAGTGCTTTTCTTGTATTGCTGTATAGACAGAGTGGATAGAAAAGGAGAGAAGTATGGGAAGTTGATAGAAAGACACTATTGCTAAGATTGAATTGGGTAACTCCTTTATACAGGAGCTTCCACTGTAGAAGAAAAGGAGTGGTTAGGAGAAAACTCTCAGAATCCGGGGGTTAAATGAAAGTAGCAAAAATAAATAAATAGATCAATAAATGAAACAAGCAGATAGAGTACTTTTCAGAGGCTGTTGTGCCCTCTCTTCCTAGAAATTGAAATCAAGACATCACTGTATTATCTGAAAGTGACTATTCTCATTCTTTTAGAGAACTACTTTTATTTCCATCAGTACACATCTGCTGTATGCCTTGCATTGAGATAGACATTGTGAGGATATAGAAAAGACATGAGCTCTGAAAGTTGTGGAGGAAATAGTAGAAATGTATGGTTTAACAACTGCTTGTGCTCAAGCCTGTTTAGTTCAGTTACTGGTGTTCTAGGATTCAAAACAATATTCCTTTATTTTTGAGAATTTTTGAAGAAAAAGTGACATGCACAAAGTCTGGAAAAGGGTATAATTTTTTAATAATAGGATGATGTGGAAGTCATAATAAGCCTCTGAATTTAAATTCTAAGTGTGGTATTTCTAGGGGATGAAATTATAGATGATTTTTAATGTTTGGATTTTTAAAAAATCAACACATACTACTGTTTTAATTGTGAAGAATGGAGTGGTAGTGGGTAACTGTTAAGATAAGTCATCCTACACAAACACAATATGTGAATTTTTCCTGTGAGAATAATTGACATTTTAGAGAAGAGACATACTATAGATCTATTTGAGCTTTCACAGGCTTTAGGATTTTTTTCTTTATTGAAGTATAACATATATACAGAAAAGTATATATCACAAGTTGTAGTTCAAAGGATTTTTTACAAATTAAATATACCCACATTACCAACATATACAATAGATCAAGAATCAGAGCAATGGAACACACCCATGATAATCAAAATCCAGATCAAGAATCAGAGCAAACTTTCATGGTTTTTTGATTCTGTATTATAATGAGTCTCTCATTAAACTGTAGTGATTTATAAGAACATATTCAGTGTTGTTTACCTAGGGAAACATCAAGTGATATTATTACTTACTTTTACCTGTTGATAATTTAATGAAAGAAAGAACATCATTGTATTTTTAATGGTTGCATAGGGAAAGGGTTCAGTATCTTTACTTCACAATCTTGAGAAATAATAAAGAACAGAATAACTATAAGAAGGAATAAGCACACTTCTGTTTCTTTTGATCCCAGAGAGATTAACAGGCAATATATGAATGTAAAATGCTAAACAATCTATTGAAAAACCTAGTGAAATCTTGTTCTCTGGAAATTTGGAAGATTAGAGGTGGTTTAAAATGAACCATACCTAGGGCTTCCCTGGTGGTGCAGTGGTTGGGGGTCCGCCGATGCAGGGGACGCGGGTTCGTGCCCTGGTCCGGGAAGATCCCACATGCCGCGGAGCCGCTGGGCCCGTGAGCCATGGCCGCTGAGCCTGCACGTCCGGAGCCTGTGCTCCACAACGGGAGAGGCCGCAGCAGTGAGAGGCCCTCGTACCGCCAAAAAAAACAAAAACAAACAATAAACAAAAAATGAAGCATACCTAAGCGTTAGATTGAATGACTTCCGGATGTTTAGACCTCTTAAATCTGCTAAGCAGTTTATAATGCCAGCAGATGATGAGGTGAGATTTGGATATTTTACTTTCAGTATATTCAAACTGTATCCGATGTTTTTGGTAAAATCTTTGTAAACTGAAGTAGACCAGGTACTTTATTCTCTAAATGGTCTTTTTTGTGGGCGACTGTGGACTTTCCCTGTTGATCTTCCCACATCTCTTGCTGCCTTAATACTATTTCTCTCACAGCCACCTGAGAAATTTTTTCATAAATGCAGAACAAATCTCATTATGCTAATTTCTCAAATAAAAACCTTTTGTAGGGGACCTATGCATCTGGTAATATTAAAGATAGAATCCTGGGGAGCTTCAACATTTAAGCGATAGACAGAAAAGAGAAACCTATAAAAGAGATTGAGGCATCTGATATTCCTCCTCAGAGACTGGAGGAGTATCAGAAGTGGTGTCATACTCGCTCTCTGAAAGAGAGGGTACTGAAAGGTCTGAGTGAGCACTTGCTGTTTCAGACACTGTAGGAGCAGTCAGTAAGAACTGAAGAGTGTTCATTAGTTTCAGCAATAAGGAAGCCACTGGTGAAGGTAGCGAGGACTGTTACAAGAAGTGGTGGGGGCAGCAGTAGATTGCAGTGGAATTTGGATGAGATGTGAGTGAGAGATAAAGTGGAGACAGTCATTATAGATAGCTTTCATCAGTCTTGTCTGAGAAGGGAAGTAAACGTATAGCTGGAGGTATGTGAGGTGGAGGGAAGATTAGTTTTTAAGATGGGAAAGGAAGGATTAAATGTTGACAGAAAAGAGCCATTAGAAATGTTATCTATTGCTGGATGACACATTAGTGGCTTAAAACAATCATTTTATTTTGCTCATGATTCTGCGGGTCAGGGATTTGGGAAGAGCTTGACTGGGTACTTCATCCCTGACCATGTAGTATCAGCTGGTGTCTGAGGCGGGATCCACTTCCAAGATGCTTCTTAACTCTCAAGTCTGGAACCTTGCTGCTTCTTGGTATGTGCTCACCTCTCCCTTCCTTTCTTTCTTTTTCCTTCCTCATCTCATCCTTCTGGGCTTCTCATGTGAGAAACTATGCATCTTATAGCATTTTGGTTTTAGAGTACTTGTGCTTCTTACACAGCAGCTCTTTATCACTGGTTTTAGGCAATTTGATTATGGTGTGCCTTGGTTTAATTTTCTTCATGTTTCTCTTGTTTGGAGTTCTGCTTCGAAAGGTGAGCTTATAGGTTTCATCAAATCTGGACATTTGGGGCCATTATTTCCTTAAAATGTTTTTGTTGACTCCCGCCACCCCTTCCCTCAGGGATTCCAGTCATACATGTATTAGGTCACTTGAAGTTGTCCCACAGCTCACATCATGATGCTCTGTTCTTCTTTTTTTTGGGTTCCAGATGTTTTTGTTTCTGTTTCGTTTGAAATAGTTTCTATAGCTATGTCTTCAAGTTCATTAATTTTTTCTGCTAAAATGTCTAATTTGCTATTCCATCTACTATATTTTTAATCTTAGGTATTCTGTTTTTCATCTCTAGAAGTTTGACTTGAATCCTTTTCTAAATCTTCCATATCTCTCTTTAACATATTTGTGCTTTCCTTTACTTTCTTAAACATATGGAATATAGTTATAATGATTGTTTTAAAGTTCCCGTTTACTAATTCTAACATCTATGTCTTTTTAGGACTGTTTCTGTTAACTGATACTTCTCCTTTCAAGGGTCATGTTTTTCTGGGATTTTTTTGTTTGTTTGTTTGTTTTTGCCTGCTTGATGACTTCTTATTGGATGCCAGACATTGTGAATTTTTACCTTACTGGGTCCTGGATATTTTTATATTCCTTTCACTATTCTCGAGCTGTGTTTTGGGACTCAGTTTAGTTACTTGGAAACAGTTTGATCTTTTAAAGACTTTTGTCGTTGTTTATAGACAAAGCCAGGGCAGTCTTTAATCTATGGCTAATTTCTCCCCACTGTTGAGGCAGTCCCCTTCTGAGTACTCTACCTGATGTCCCATATATTACAAGGTTTTTCCACCCTGGCTGGTGGAAATCAAAACTCTTCTTGGCCCTATGTCAGCTCCTGGGATGGTTCTTTTTCTGGTTTTGGGTAGTTTTCCTGCACTGATCAGTACTAGGGTGAAAACTTGAGAGTAACCCTCTGCAGCCTCCTGGAGCTCTGTCTTTGCAGCTCTCTCCTTTCTGTGTAACTCTCTGCTCTGCTATTCTGTCCTGCTAATTTTAGCTGCCTTAGCTTTCTTGAATTCTCAACTCTGTTTTCTCCAACCGGGCAGACCACTGGGCTCTATTTCAGTTTTTCCTCCCTGTGTTGTAGCCTGGGAACTGTCTCCAGGCAAAGGTGGGGCTTACTATTTGCTTTCTTTCTCTCACAGATTACTGTCCTATACTGTTTGTTGTTCATT